GAGGCTGAAAGAGTCCCAAAGAACTGTAGAGCAGATGAGGAAAATTACAAATGGGAAAGGTCTGTGCATTTAAAATGAGAGATAATAATCTGAAAGACACAGTCAGGCCTCTTTACAGTGAAAAGTTCTTCCAGCAGCCCTAAAAACACCACCCTTCACAGACTGAACATGAAGATGGAGAAGGCTTGAAAGAACTGCAAGAAGCTCCTTTGTCTGCACAGTGCATCTGCTCTGCCTTTGAGGAGCCTGTGATGTGCCCAGTGTATGTGGGAGCTAGCACTCAGTAACTAGCCTTTCCAAAAATGCATACATGAGACACCACATTTGCAAAAACAACTTCAGAAGTCACGTTGCCAGGAGCAGCCAGTGGCAGGACTACTGTGTGTACACATTAAATCCTGGCATGTGGTGCAGGCAAGGTGGCATATGGTCTTCTCCAGCCTCTGGAAGGAGGGACAGGACTCACTTAGCCAGCACAGATGGTCATAGCTGCATGGATAACATCCATTGTGCATTTCTTATGCACTGTCAATTTCTGACCTTCGCCAAAGCAGCCCTAGCACCTACCAGCATGTACCAGCAATAGGTGGCACACGTGATGGAAGCTCACTTGTCAGTGTAAGCTATGGGATGTGGGCACAGTGCAATGCCTTCCCTCTCCATCCACAGCATCATGCCTGTACATGTTGGACCTGTGTCCTTCATTAGTTGTGTCAGCACATAGTGCACCTATCATCTCTGCTGAAAGGGAGGGAAGGTGGTACCAAGCAGCAGGGAGGCAGTTACTGCTTACACTGCTCATAGCTCTCCCTGAAGGTGTAAATGCCTCTATCCCACTCCCTCCCGGTGCAGCATTGAACAAGTGAGCTTAACTCAGTTTTCTGACTTCATCCCAGTTTTCCACTACTTAAAGTGTGGCTACAAAGAAGACGGAGGCTCTCTTTTCACCAGGAGCCATATGGAGAAGACAAGGGGCCACAGGTACAAGTTGCAGTAGGAGAGGTCTTTTCTCAACATGAGAAACAATTTTTTTTACACTGGGAACAATCAATCACTGGAACAATCTCCCCAGGGATGTACTAGAGTCCCTCTCACCAGAGGTTTTCAAGATGCAATTGGAAAGGCTGCTAAACAACTTCATCTATGCTCCCTTTCCCATAAAAGAATGGACCAGATGATCTTTGGATGTCCCTTCCAAGCTGCACTGTTCTACGAGTCTAATTTAACTTGTAGTTAGCATCAAAATAAAGTGGAGGAGAAGCTCACATGGGCAGGCATCTGTATCACCTTGGAGAAAGCAACCAAAAACTGTCACCAGTAAAAGCTATCCTTGGGTGGCTCAGTGCACACAGCTTCCCTTCCACACTGTCCTCCTGGTATCACCAGTAACCAGCAGATTATGTAAACTCAATTAACTTTGCATTGAGAGGAGAATAGGAACCCTTACACTTGACTTAGAGATGGACATGAATAAAATAGGACCAGTGAGAGGTACTGCACAGTCTGCCATTGCCTGCCTGGGGCAAGAACAGGATTTGAGCACCCTCTTCCTCATACACACACATACATACTCCACCTCTGAGACAACTGTGCCCAAGACAGAGCATAAAGCCTTATGGAACAGTTGAGCCCAGAGGTGTTCTGAGAAATCCCTTATTAAGTAAGACACTAAGTGTCTCCAAATATATTCCCAGTTCTTTTCTCTGCAAAAGTGAGTAAGTGAACCTTAACCATCGCTGGACCAACTATTTGGTTTTGCAAAATCAGAAGCTCCAGTCGCTAACACAAACAGGGTTTAAGAAGAGATTTAAGAATATGAAGATGCCACCTTTCAGCCACTAATGACAGTCTCTCAAGAGACACAGAGTGACTCCGTTGACATTTTTAACCCCTAATGCCTGGAACCCCTTGCCCACCTTTACCCACAGGACATGTCATTCTATGTTCATTGTGAGGCAGTAGCTCTGACAAGGTTTGCTTTACTTACTTTAGGTGAAGGACACAAAAATAGTATTTTCTTGTGAATATGAGATATATTATGCTGCTAGTGTGATTTCAAGAGCCAGCTTTAATTTTAATTTTTATTTTTTGTACCTGCAGCATGTGTATTTCAACATTCAAATTCCCACTAACAATCTTTTAGAGGAAGATATTAAAAAATCCTCTCAGCCCATAAATATTTAAACATACCTGTGCTTTCAAGTATGTGAAGATGTTTCTTTTAAGCACTAACATGAAGGGATGCATAAACAGAATGTGCTACAAACAAACAATGCTGACAGCAGCTGGAATATGCCCCTTGGGGCTAGTCCAAGGTCTAATCCACAAAATGCTATTTGGAATACTGCAGCATCAATAGACATAAATATTAAATGTAGGTAATGTTCACTGACATTATATAATTCCTGAATTGTGCTTCATTTATACCTGTAAGTAATCAATGGGGTAGACAGAAATAAATTAGATTACTACAATATAAGCAACAAGAGAATCTAGTGTATTACTTAATTATGTTTCAGATGTTGCTTTACATTTAATTTCTCCAGGACTAAATTCACACTGCCTTTCTTTTTTCCTCTGATAAATCTGCCTAATAAAAGAAAAAATGCACATATATTCTGCAGATAAAAGAGGTGAGACTGTGAATTACGTGATCAGCAATAGGGCTTTCTTGTTTTGTGGTTGTTTTGTTGGGGTTTTTTGTTTGTTTTGGTTGGTATTTTTCGTTGTTTTTTTCTATCTTTTATTTGTTGTTATTTCAGCAATTGAGAAAAAAATATACCTAATTGTAATTTTTCTGATTTTAAAGCTTTTACAATAACAAAGATAAATTAAACCTATCTTGAATTTCATTTATAGTACATGAAGGTCAGTTGTTTACCAGTACTTCCCTAAGAATCATATTCAATATTTTCCTTCTTTTTAATTGCTTATTCAAAAAGTACTGCCTATACCCTGTGATTACGTTAAATTAACCTGATTTGAATCAACGTTCCTGTTAATCACAGAAGTTATGAGATCTCACTAAACTAAAATAAAACATATTTTCTATTTTGCCATGGGAAGATAACAGAATGGATGGGAGTTCTGTGGTACAGACCACGTTCTTTGATGCTGTTGTGTTTGTGGCTTTCCTGAGTAACAGCTCTGAATCTGGCTGTTTTAGAAGGCAGGATACAAAAATACATAATCTATCAATATACTGTCCTACAGAAACTCTCTTCTATTATAAAAATGCTGTGCTGTTGAAGAGATTGAAGATTATTATTTGACTCTAAAAGATATCATACTGAATCTAAGTTTACTGATGATACACCATGTTGAAATGTATTTCCTGTGATTACTTATCTGTTAAATTATGTTGTCTTTATTATACTTGTGAATCATAGCCAAATACTCTCTTGCTAACAGTAAATATCCAGACTCTGATCTCACAAATTCAGACCGTGTTTGCATATCTATAGCAAGAATGTACCATTAGTCACTGAAAAGGAAAGAAAGCTTTAGAAGAATGGTCTGTAATACAGAGGGTAAACTGTTGACAAGTAGTGATATCAAAAAGAAGATATCTGGTGAGCAAACTCCCTATGGGAACAGCTGAGCTGAATCTCCCTTTTTAAACATTCATTGGATTCTGCCCCCCCCAAGTTATAAGCCCTTTTTTTTTTTTCACATTAGGTGCTTCTCATTAGTGCTGCCCTCCAGCAAATCATGTGGAGACTCAGCTGCACCCTCTATTCAGCCCACCCTCCAGAGCAGGGGGATCAGTAAAATCCGTGTCATACCCCTCCAACATTGTAC